TCAGCATTTTCAGAATGTGCCATGTTGTGAGTGAAACTGGCTGGAGCCTTCAGAGACCCAGCTGGTCACACCTCATTTCCCCAGAGGCGTCCTTGTAGGTCTGGGTTCCTCTTGCTCCCAAACTTTTCGTGTGAAGCTCAGGGTAGAGATGGAAGGAAGTGCAAGAGGGACTTAGCCAGTGGCAAGCAGGAACTCCGGGTCACAGTCCCATCCCTCCTCTTGGCCTAGCAAGGGCCCCAGAATGGGGGTTCCTCCTCAGCCAGTGCAGTCCACACAAGGGTGCATTCTGCCTGGGGCTCCCCAAGGAGCCTTCCTTGCCCCCTGCAAGCTTCAGCTCTGCAAGGTGTAAGACACTAATGCAGGAACAAGAGAGTGAGTGCTTCTGGGGGTGGGGGGGGGCCCTCCCACCGCTGTTGCTCCACTGTTTCAAAGCACTCCCTACAGCTTCTCTCGGGAGGGTCTGGATCATCAGGAATGGGCAGCACCAGAGCATTAGCTACTTGCCCTGGTCCCCTCCCTAGATTAGTTTTGGTAACTTCTACCTTTGAAACCTTCAAATACTACCCATTCCCAGGAGTGAAGCACAACCATTACAAAGTCATTGATTGGAGAATAGGCTCAACCCCAGTTTGCCCTGTGGCCTCTAGGCTATGGCCTCAGCTCCAAGCAAGGGAAGCCAGGCTTGACCACGAACTCTGAAGCCCTGTCCTGTGGGTGGGGCCATCATTCTGGACGCACCTTGCTCTTTGGGGCCCGGGCCACAGTGGCCTGCCCACTGGAGGGTCAGGCTGTCATGTGCTATTTGGTGGTATGTGTTTGTGTGTGGTTGTCGGTTACATGTGTCTTGAAATTTAGAGTCATTTCGCACAGAATTGTCACTATTTGTTGGGAAGAGAAAATGGGCTAGGAGAAGCTCAGTCTTAGGTTCTTGCCCTGTTACCATTTAAAATTGACATTTAATTTTTCAAATCACTGTTGGTGCCTAATCACTTAAGTTATTAATTTATTCTGTTTTCTTTTAAAAATTTGTAACATGTATTTATCCTGGGGGGGGAGGGGTAGAGTAGGTGATCAAGTGGGTCCTGTTTTTGCTGTGGCAGCACATGGTACAGACCTAGAGCTTGCAGGTCCCTTTTTACTGTGGTGTTGGAGCAGGACAATAATAAAGTCCATTAGAAGCAACCAGAGAGGGCTGCCTTGTCTGAAGAGGATGGGATCCACACACAAAGCCCAGCTGGGGGCCTCCCACATGTAGGCTTAAACACATTCTCAACAAGTTTACTCTCTCATGGTCCCAGGAGGTCTACGTGCCTGTCTGCACCACTTTCATTTTAATAATAGGAATGTACTCGGTATGCTTCTTGGCTAGGAACAAGACTGAACCCTTACCTCAGGCTCTGCATTCCTGATGTGTAACATGGAAACTGTAGTAACACCGGCCAAATCTCCTTAGAAGACACACAGGACTGGGACTGTGGAAGTGAATTCTGAGTGTGACCTGGTATCAAACTATTGGCTTGCTTTTGCTGGTCCCTAAGGTCTCCAGGGTCTGTGCTATTTGGGCCAAAACATCAGCACAGGGCCACAACCCTTGAAGTCCCTGCCACCACGCCTTCTTTGTTCTCCCAAAGAGCAGAGCCCCCGCATGCCTCTCCCGCTCCCAGAATGGGAAGGAACTGGGTGTCGGCTGTGGAGTGACTGGGGGTGGCCTGTGCCCAAGTCTGGCCTCAGAGAAGTCACACACCCTTCCAGGCTCTGAGAGAAGGAAAAATAGCTATTTCTGGGAAAAATCCTGACAGCCACCAGGCATCTAACCTCTCCCTGCCCCACCACCAGGCCTCACCTTCCCATGGTACGTCACACAAGGCAATGGGGCAGGAGGGATAACCCTCCCTGCTGCCTAGACACAGCAAGAAACCAAGGGTACAGTAGACACCACAGCCACTGACAGAGGAAGAATGACATCTTTAAAGGCTTCAGAGAACTTTTTATTCCTGTTTGAGACCTTGGGTCTCTCTCTTCTCTCTCTCCATTAGAAGGTGTACAGCAGTGTCAGGGCACAGAGGTCAGTATCTGCTCCTCACCAAACCAGCCCCCAGATTCCCATTCTAACAGCCAACCGATGAGCTGAGCCCGCTAGCTCTCCCCAGAAGGACAGTTCCAAGAGAAATGCACACATACTTGCCGTAAAATAAGGACTCTTATTTGCATCAGAAGGGGGATGCACGGTGGCATCTTGGGCACAGAGGCAGCCGAGGGGGGCCATCCTCCCTTCTATGCAGGGTTGCTTGGTGTGGAGAGACGATCTCTGATCCTGCATCAGGCTGCATCCCACCCACATGCCTCAAAATAAACAGTGTTACCTCTGAAATCCCCTCAGAGAAACAACGTGGCCAGATACGGCTCTGCTTTTTATACTGTAGAGTATTAGGATTGTCTGAAAGGGAAATGCTACTTGATGGCAAGACACTGGAGCTGTGAAGGTCAGCCCTGCTGGGGGAGCAGGGCCCAGAGCGCATCCAGCTAAGCTGCTTCGAGTGGACCAGGACACTTGGGTGTAAGATCTTGATGGGGCTGATCCCCCTGTCAGGGCCTGAGGCCTAGTTTAAAGGGCTCACCTCAATATCTGGGGCTCCAGGTGGCCTTCAGGCCAAGGAGCAGTGTTCCAGAAGCTCCCTCTCCACCTTTCTCACCTTTCGAAGGCCCTACATCAGGACTGAACCTGCCTCCACAGCCTCCCTTTGACCCCACATGGCAGTGCAGCTCTGCCTGGGATCTGGGCCCCCACCCAGTTGCCAGAAGGAAGGGGTCCAGGCCTCCCCACGATTGGCTGTGGCCCCTGCCCCCCAAACACACACACACAAACGGCCAGTGGACGGTTCCCATTAGAAGACCAGTCTGTGGAAGTCACCACCATTGCCCCCTGCAGGGTTGCAGCCCCCAGGAGAGCCTTCATCCTCGTCCTTATCTTCGTCAAAGCCTCTCCCCCAGTGTGGAGATGCGGGGAGCGCAGAGATGTAGGCTGCCCTGCTGCGGGCCTCCTTCTCCTGCTCCTGGAAACAGATAGGAAACTTAAAATTAAGGCCCTGCAGCCAGGGACCTCCCTTCACTCCCTCCCCAGCACAGNCTTGCATCCCTCGGGCCAAGCACAGAGGAGCCATGGCTTCTGCCCTAGAGGCATTCTGGCCCATTCCTTCAAGACCATCCCTCCTCCTCCCAATAAAACCCCAGACCCCTGGAGGGAAGGAGCTCACTCATACTAGACTGTGAATAGCTGACAAGGGCCAAATGTGGCACCAGGAAGCAGGAGGATCAGGGACTTCAAGGGGCATGTCCCAGCAAACAGGGACTGCCCCACAGACTTCCTGACCCAGCTGTGCAGCTGACTCCCTCTCGAGGCTCTAGGAACTGACTCCCCTGTGAGAAAGCTCTTCTGCCCAGCTAAGGCCGGCCTCACAGAGACACCTCACCACGGGCCCTGGCCCTGCCTGGACAGCCCTGCAGAAATGTAAAAGCAGGCCCAGCATCCCCACTCCACAACCACCTTCCCCATGAAACACCCACCCATCCACAGTTCTGGCCTGCCACCTCCAGTTATTTGCAGCCAGTACCTCCCATCCCAATTTGGCCAGAATCTTGACTTTAAAGGTGGCGGGAGGCATGGGGACCAGTAACCAAGGAGCTCAGGGGTAGGGTGGCCCCTGCACAGTCCGGTAGCACTCTACACACTCACACTTGACTGTTCACCTATCAAGCCCCATGCTGCTGCTCGAGCACACTTATGAGAGCTGTTGATAAATATCAGATGATTATGAGGTGTTTGTTCCTCTAAGATGCTTGCCTGGTCCACCAATATACCCCCATCACTAAGTGACAGGTGAGCAGATTAAGATGAGACAGGAGCAATAACATCTCAGCCAGTACTGTGCCCAGAAGGTCGGCTCTGCTCACCTGCAGGTAGAGGATGTTGTCTTTGGAAATAGCTTCCATCAGGTCTTTGTGGAGGGCGGGCTCTGTCCGGACTCCGGGAGAGCCCGGCTCAGCCTCTGGCCCCTCCGCAGGACGCTGCCGGTAAAAAAGCACATAGG